GGCGATAAGCCTTTTCCCAATCAAAAATCCCCAATTCCAACTCTCCCTCTGTTTTGACGAAGAAGGTGGCTACCTTGGCGAAATCGTCCCATGATGTTTTGAACTTTATCTTGTCGACAAAAGAGTTGACTGAAGGTATGTCGTCGTCGAATTTTGGAAATGATAGGTCATTTATGACTCTTTTTGACCCGTCGCCGTTTGTTACCACCCCCATGGGGCTGGTTCTGAAGAACCCTAGGTAGTTTTTCGCCTCCTCTATCATGAAAGGACCTCTCATTCTTCCGGAGTCCAGTTCTTTCTGTAGCTTTTCTGCTATGACGCTGTTTCCGGTGATTGTTCTTTCGTGATTGGGAGGTGAGTGGTATTCGTGTCCCTCAATGGCGTGGTCTGGTATTCCCTGATCGAAACCTTCCCGGAAACCTACTAATATTTTCTGGTGTTTCTCCAACAAGTTGTGTTTTCTCAACATTCTTTCCCAAGCATCCAAATCCATTTCGCACGTGACCTTCTGTGGCCATTTCCTGTTGGGTCGGTACTTATGGTGGATTGGTTTACGGCGTGGGGGCGTTACTTCCACTAGACTTTTCTTGGGACTCGCCGTTTCTGGAGAGTTAGACTGCCTGTCAGTGATTGGCTCACATCTAGCATTCCCGGCGAGGGTTCTTTCCGCTTACGTTTTCCTTGTTGTTCTTTTCCAGCTGTTTCCTCCTCCGGCTTCTCAGCCTCTGTGGGATTTGTGCCTTCATGTGACTCGCTCGACGTTCTTTCACTCCGGGCTTTGGCTTTTCCGGGCTGCTGTGAGCCGGTTTCCGGTCCTTGTACATCTAGACAGCTGTTTTGTCCCATTAGTGGTGTGGGAGAAAACCGTGACGGGCAGGAGGAAACGACCTATCAGCGTGAGTCTAAACTTTTCTCACTTCACATCTCTCTTCTCTCATGTATTGTCTGTATGAGACTGGTTTGGAGTTTCTTGGCAGCGCTACGGGATGTGTGCCGTCATCGCTCTCTACTTTATGTATATATGTCTACATTTTTAGCAGAGTGATGTGCTCATTGGCGCGGTAATGGATGTGGGATGTACATGTGGGGTTTTTGGGCACGGTGATCTTTATTTCATCTGACACCTATTCTACGACCTTAGTCCTGTAACATGCTGCCTCCTTTCTTGAAGGGTCCCTGGATGCATCTCCGCTACCTCTGTCCTCCCCTTTCCCTGTCACACTTTCCCT